CCCAATATAGGGTTTCTGAGGAGCAGCTGGTGAAATTGAACTGCCAACCTTGTGTTTCAAACCTACCTTGTGATTGATTGCTTATCCTATAGTGCCAGGCAAAGCTCGATGGACACATGGACATTTCCAAGGAATGCTAGGCCCACAGATGCTGAAAGGAGAAAAGGACCTTTCCCCAGAGCTGGTAACTCTGAATTCAGACTCTGGCCTCCTAACCTGTGAGAGAACACATTTGTTTGTTTAAAGCCATGTGGTGTTTTTGTGATGGCAACACTAGGTCAGAGAGAGTTGGGTACCGGCAGTGAGGTGTTGCTCTAGTACAAACCTAAAATGTGGAAATGGTTTTCGAATAGGATAATAAATAAGACGAGGCTGGGAGAGTACTAAACTGCCTAATAGGAAAAGCCTCAATTACCTAAGAAGAAACTGTTGGTGGAATTGTGGATGTCAAAAGCAGTTCTGATGAGGGGCTCAGAAAGAGGTTGAGGAAGTTGGTATGTGCTGTGTGGTGTGAACTAGGGAAAGAAGCATTTTTGCTTAGTATGTAACCTGGTAGATAGAAAGATGTCACAAGTGTATCAAATATGAATCTCAGCCCAAAAACACAGGTGGAAGTACCACATTTGATATTTGAGAACCACCTTGATTTGGACTCTGCAATCCTATCTGTTTAACCTCAGTCCTCCTTGGGGCCCTGCTCCTTTATGCTGTTTATTCAGGCGTGGTGTGGAGAAGCTCAGGTTGCCTGCAGTGGTTTTGGTAGTGTCTTTCATTGCCCTACCTAAGATTCTTTCAGCTGAGCCTTAAAGGGTAGGTAGAGTTTACCAGATGTAAGTCTGTGTCTGTGGTGGTGCTTGCTTATCGAGGGAGTGGATTGCCTTTATGTATGTACCGTTGGAAGGAGGGGCTCATTTATAAGGTGGGGTATGTGGGGTGTGTTTTAGGGACAGTGAGTGGTTCCTGTTGGGTTATGAATATTTGAGTTTGTGTGGCAGGAATGAGCTGAGAGTTTATACTGTTGCACAAGAGCGTCAGAAACAGGTTCTTGTTATTATGAGGACTAATCTGGTAACCTTGAGCTGGATGGATTTGAAAGGGAAGAAGCTTAGAAGGCTTGTCTAGTAGTTCTGACCTGGACTGAGAAGGAAGGGTTGGTTGTAGTGGGAATGAAGAAAACAAATGATTGGGCAGAAATCACTAGACAGAATATATGGGGAGGCAGAACGAATGACTGGGTTTCTGTACTAGGCGCAAGATTATTAATGGTGTTAATAATGGAAATTGGAGAAGTCAGGGTAGGAATTTGTTGTGAGAGGGAGACGGGGTTTAATGTAGGATGTGAGCCTTGAAATGAGATCACGTTTGGATCGACAGACGTCACCAAAGCATCCATTTTCCCTGTGGATGGTTATGAGGAAGACAGTGACGTAGGAAGATGCCAATGAGAAAAGAGGAACTGACTGTGTGAGGTTCTTGCTTGGATAAATGGTAAATTAAAATTTTTATTTACACACATATTGCAATTTGTGTTTACATTGTAATATTTTGACAATTTAAAAACTCAGTATGTTTGAAATATCCTTTTTTGTTTTAACTTTTCTCTGGGATGGTTGGTGAATATTTATAAATTGATGTACTGCTACAACAGTTCTGAATTCTTTCAGCAAAATTTTACTTACGTTATGACATTAGTGATATTGTCTGGTAATTTCCATGTTCCATTAGATCACCCTCTCTTTGTTCTTTGGAATGGGCATGTATATGGATTGGGAAGTATGTAACCAGAAGCGGTTCTTAATTTTGTATTGGAAAGTAGTTAATACATTTGGAGATATCATTCAGTCTCTAGATAGGACGTGAATACACAGATGACTTTGTGGACTCTTTGGTGGTCCGTAGGATGGCATCGACTGGTATTGATGTGAACTAAGAAGAAAGAATAACTGTTGTGTCCATTTCCCCTTAGAGAAGGTCTGGAGCGTCTGCAAGATTTTATTGTTGTCACAGTGCAGTAGTTAATGGAAGTGTGGTTCATTGGATAGAATTTGAAAACCAGTTTGGTTTACAAAATTAGACTTGCAAGTTAAATTTATTTGTGCATATAAAGGCAGCACTGGTAGCGTAGTGGTTACGAATCGGGCTGCGAACCTTAAGGTCAGTGGTTCGAAACTACCAGCTGCTCCACGGGAGAAAGATGAGGCTTTCTACTCCTGTAAAGATTTACACCCTCGGAAACCCTGTACATGGGTCGCTATGGGTCGGAACTGACTTGATGGCACATAACAACAACAATGAATGCATGTTAACTTAAAATAGGATTTGCTTAACAATTTTTCTGTACTGTGTCATGTTAACTTTCAGGGTTGGCTGCTATTGAAAATAGTTTTCTATACTTTGTGGGATACTTTGACATTTGGGAGAAAAATTGTACGCAGTATGAGTTTAATCTCAACAATACAAAGTCACATAGCTGAGTTGATGTTATTTTTATTGTTCCATGCCATTTACTGATGACCACACATGTAAATGGTTGTCTCAGATAATCTTTGCCAATGAATTTTAGCACTCAGTTGCTAAGAAATAATGTTCCTACAAAGCTTCAAGTCTCGGCAGAGTGAGTACTATGCATCAGAATCTAACATTCTTGAATTTGGCTTTGGTATTTGTCACCCAGGTTTTCTGAGAGGGCTGAAGTATACTGGCAGGCTCATTAGACAGCTGTTTGTTCGTTATTTTACCAGGCATACATGGCGGTGATTATTTTTTCTTATGACATTGGGTTGTCTTTTTTTTTTTTTAATTTCTTGCCAGTCTTGGTCATTTAGATATGTGATGTTGATACCTTAGCTGCATGACTGTTAGCTGAGATAATGTTAAGATAATAAACTATTTACTTGAGCCTACAAGCAAATCAAAGTAAAGTTTATCAAAGCAAGCATGGATTTTTAAATGTGAATATGTGAAATTAAAGATGGAAATTACTTCAAATAGCCTTGGGTTCATTATAGCAATTTTGTTGTTGCCATGATGCGGTTCTACTTGCTCATTTAACTTTTCAATAGCATAAGCAAGTAATTTATATTTAAGGAATTAAAAGGAAGAAACTGCCATTGAATCACGATTGTTCACATTGAGAATGTATATATGATTTTAGTTCCCTGCCTTTGAAACACATTTTGGACTGCTATCAGATTGTGGGTAATCAGTGAGTTACAAAAAGTTTAAATGCCTAAGCAAGATTAATTTAGATTATTTAGGTTAGGAAAAAAATAAAACAGACAGTATTTTTTGCTTCCTATACTTCTTTGCATTATTTATACTACTTTCCATCCTTCAGCAATTCCACGTCAGAATTGACTTAGCACTTCGAAATTAATCTCAATATAATATTAGTGCACACATACACAGTAGTTGCTCCCATGTCTAATTTGTCTTACCAACCCAACTGGTTAACATATTTTATTGCAGTGTTATATTAAAATTCTAAATGTAATAATCTGTTATTAAAAGAAATAAGTAGAGTAAGTGGAGAATCGATCAAAGTAAAGTCTTTATAAACATCAACACGAAGTACTTTTGGGTATGCAGCAGCAGATTTCAAGTGAGACTCAGTTTGGTCTCGTTTACAGACTAGCTGTAAACAGGACTAGTCCGACAGAACCACGTCTTAACGGTTAGCAGTAGGTGCCTGAGGAAGTCGGTGTCTGAGGCCAGCATGGAGACTCCATCTGGTCTTTGGTCTGATTTAGAAACTAACTGGTTGCAAAGTGGAGGCTAGAGCATTACTAAGCCTTGGTCAGTGTGATTATTTAGTTTAGCTGTTAAGTAGCCTTTCTGCCCAACTGGGATGAGGACTTGGCCTGCTGGGAGCTCTGCACTTGTACAGTGAACTATTGAGCCTCCAGGGGCAGGAGCCCTTCCCGAGGAGCAGGGAGGAGGGAAACATTCTAGTTACTCTGCCCAGGGTCACTGGCTCTTTCTCATTAAAGGTAGGCAGAAGGGTGATCCTCACTGGATTGAGTGGGGATTTGAAAAACGGAGAAGTTGGCACTAGTGGCCAATGCCTAATTTGAAGTTTTAAAAAAATAGTCATTATTGAGATTAAAAAAAAAAAGTATCATGTGTTGAATGTATAACGGATGATCTTCTCTATGACCTTTCACTCAATTCACAATAAAAAGTTTAAAAGTTAAATTTAAAAAACACTTGATGGAAAAACACCACCAGCCATTAGACTTGCCCTGCCAACTGCATGATTTACAAATTGTTGTAGTTGTTAAGTTTCTTTGAGTCAGTTCTGCCTCATGTCTAGAATTTCTGAGGGGTAGCTGGTGGGTTTGAACTGCCAACTTTGTGGTTAGCAGTTCAGTGTTTACCTACAGCATCACACCTGGACTATAAACTAGTTATCCTTAAATCATGAAATGTTTGTTACAGTGTTTAGTAAGTCTACTATAGAATCACAGGAAGCGTTAAGATAGTGAGTCTTTTGAATTGGAACTGGAGTTTGAATATATGAATATATTTAATATATATATATATAAACACACATAAAATATAATGTAGTGATACTGTTAGTAGTTGTAGCTACGTTCTATCAATTTGAAGTATCCCTGAGTACAGGTCAGCTATATATAAAGGTTTTTACTAAGCTCCTGGCAGAACTGTTTTGAGGATACAGAATATTGAGGAACTGGATCTCTTTTAAAGTGTTATAAGGGGGCTCCAGAAAGTTTGTGGGGGAAAAAGAAATCCTAATAATATCTTTTCAGTCGGTTTCCCCTCATAGTTGGTTAGTTGTAAGGAGGCCTCTTCAGCATCTTTTCTGCCTGTGCTAATTAAGAGTAGTGGTGGTACTTAACTACTTTCAGGTTACTTTTGATAGAATTGACTTTGACCTTTTGAATTCTTCAGTGAAGTAAACATGACTATACTTTCCCCTGTAGCATAGTAATCTGTGTTCATAATCTGAGAGTATTTAAGAGAGTTCTCAATTGATGGTGGTGTCCTGACTGCAATGAAACCCTTCTAGCCTATTTTAAGCTGTCAAGCACTTTTAACACAGACCTCTCTTACCTCTTGCTTATCTCCTTTGCATCCCAAAGTACAATTTCATTGTATTTGAGGTCTAAGATTTTTCTTTGGAAACTTATCTCCAGTGTCTCTGTGGAAATAAAGAATATTAGAAAAATTCACTATGAAATTTTATATGTCTCTTCTGAGAAATGCATGTTTTATAAGTTGCAGAGTACTGACATTTTCTGGGCATATTTTCAGAGATGGAATCTTGTAGTTACTGTTTTAATAACTATGTCCCAATTATTTATAGCTTCCTGCCTGACATAACTTGCTTCAAGAAGTGCACAATGTCAGAACGTGGAATTAAGTGGGCTTGTGAATATTGTACGTATGAAAATTGGCCATCTGCAATCAAGTGTACTATGTGTCGTGCCCAAAGACCCAGTGGAACAATTATCACAGAAGATCCGTTTAAAAGCGGTTCAAGCGATGTTGGTAGAGATTGGGCTCCTTCTGGCACAGAAGGAGGAAGTAGTCCTTTGATATGTCCAGACTCTAGTGCAAGACCGAGGGTGAAGTCCTCCTATAGCATGGAAAATGCCAACAAATGGTCATGCCACATGTGCACCTACTTGAACTGGCCAAGAGCAATCAGGTGTACCCAGTGCTTATCCCAGCGTCGGACCCGGAGTCCTACAGAATCCCCTCATTCCTCGGGATCTGGCTCAAGACCCGTTGCTTTTTCCGTGGATCCTTGTGAGGAGTACAATGATAGGAATAAACTGAACACAGGGAGCCAGCATTGGACTTGTTCTGTTTGTACCTATGAAAACTGGGCCAAGGCGAACAAATGTGTTGTTTGTGATCATCCCAGACCTAATAACATTGAAGCAATTGAATTGGCAGAGACTGAAGAGGCGTCTTCCATAATAAATGAGCAGGACCGAGCACGATGGAGGGGCAGCTGCAGCAGTGCTCACAGCCAAAGACGATCGCCTCCTACCATGAAACGGGACTCTGAAATGAAAATGGATTTTCAGAGAATTGAGTTGGCTGGTGCTGTTGGCAGTAAGGAAGAGCTTGATGTGGACTTCAAAAAACTAAAGCAGATCAAAAACAGGATGAAAAAGACCGACTGGCTATTCCTCAATGCTTGTGTGGGTAAGTTTCTGTTTTCTGCATTTCTTGAATGGAATGGGGAAAGTTTTAAAAATGACATGAAAGTTGTAAGCAGGATCAATATGAGTTAGCATTGGTTTCTTCTGCTTATAAATATTTCTGCAGCATGGTATCTATCTGCATTTGGATCTATCTGTGGTCTTGTCTTCTGCATCACAGTGGTGGGGCAATTTTTATATGAAAAGGAAGGTTTTTTTTATACATCAGTAGTAGTGCTATGGGATAAGCACCGGGCTGCTAACCAGAAGGTTGGTAGTTCAAACCCACCAACCACACTGTGGGAGAAAGATGAGGCTCTTGTCAAGATTTCCAGCCTCGGAAACTCTACCCAGGGTCGCTAATGAGTCAGAATGTGCTCATGACAGTGGGTTGGGTTTTATGTAGAACATATACCTGGAGTTTCAGACTGCTCCTCTATTTATTGTGACAAGATGTGACTGAGGAACACCAGCTGCTGTTCCTGAGTGTTTGTCAATAGTGTGAACATCTTGTGATGATGGAGGCTTTAGTCAGATGTTAAAAATATCACAAAAATGTGTGGTTCCAAGAAGCTGAACAAACATAACAGTGACCTTGAAATTACTGGTGTTCATTTAACCTGAACATCAGATAGTAAACATTGACAAACTTTATGAGACTAAGTCCATTTATTGTCAGACTTGTGGGTTTTGTGTTTCCCTAAAGAGAACTTAGAGATTGTTCTCAGCTTCTAAGAACTAATTGGTATGGGACAGAGCCACGTAGGAGCAGGGGTTTCTCCTTATTGAATTCACAAAAGAGGTCTTCAGGTTTTTCCTTTTGAGGAGACAGATATTTAAATTTCATGGTTTAAATTATTTGGATAGAGATGCTTTAAGTTTTGAGTGATCCCTTTTTTTAATGACTAAAAGTTTTGTGTGGAGCACAGAACCCTTAACATTAGCTTGGTGATGGTGGTACTTCCCCAGTATGAATTTCTTTTGTTTTCCTGGATCTAGAAAACAAGGAAGTACATATATTCTGAAGTGTATAAACCTACCAGTCCTATGAGGAGGTTTCAAGAAATCTGGGTATTTTTTATTTTATAAGAAGAATATGCTAGCAGTGGAGCCCTTGTGATCACCAGTGTGATCCCCTTGTCAACAGGTGCTTAGTAACTGTTAAGTGCCTTTGAGGCCTTTCTGACTCAGCGACTAAGCATACAGCCTGGTGAGGCTGTGATCTTCTCGGGAGTGGAAAGCCTGATCTTTCTCCTGTGGAGTGGCTGGTAGGCTCAAAATGCTTACTTGTGTTTGGCAATCCAGAGCTTAGCGTATGGAGCCACTATGTTCTCTCTTTCCCTAGGTAGAATGATCTCTACCTGCCTTCTCCCAGTTCATCCCATTGCCCCCTCCCCGATCACATGATGTGATTATCTTTTTTTTGATGAATTGAGTGCTGGTTTACATGGGAGAACATAGGTTTTACACTCATCCTATCGTATTTCGTTTTATTGCAATGGTTACAATCCCCTCCATGCATCATCATTCAACAGTATTTGCTTCTTGTCCCTCTGTTTCATTACTTTTTTTTTATTGAGGTGAAATTCATGTAGCATAAAATTATTTTAAAGTCAATGATTCATTGGCATTTAGGACATCCACAGTGTTGTACAACCACAATCTCTGATTAGTTCCAAACCTTTCCATTGCCCCAAAAGGAACCCGCATCTCCACTAAGCAGTCATTCCCCATTTCCTTCCAACTTCCCCAGCCCCCCAAGCCAATCTCCTTCTGTCTGTATGCATTTACTTAGTTTGCTGGGCTTGTCTTTGTTGTCATTCTTTCCTGTCTTCCTGGGCTGCTGCCTCTGATTTCTTCTCGTACCCCTCCTCTGCGTACTTTGTATGTCTTCTCATCCTAATAGCAGTAAGTTTACTTTAAAGGGGGAACTAAAACTATCAATACTGGATTTAGTCTTACTTCCAAAGCAGTTTCTTTGTCATTCAGTGTCTGTTCCCATTCCCAATTTTTAGGTTTGTAGGATCAAGAGTTGATTTGTGTTTGGTTCTTGGTAGGTAATGTAGATTCTGACTTTCCGATTGGTAAATATCTTGATTGACTTTCATGAGCAAAATGGTTCTGAACTGAGGACCAGATTATACTCTTTTAGTGGTAGTAACAGGTTCAAGTCTACCAGTTGCTCCTTGGAAACCCTATACAGGGTTACTGTGAGTCAGAGCTGACTGACAGCACGTAACAACAACCCTCAGTAGACCTTGCTGAAATATGTTACAAACGTAAAGCAACAGCAAGAACACAAATACTTGTTTACATTGTGTTGGGCTTTAGTTTAAAAAGAGAAAAAAAAAAGACTTTCAGCAGTAAGAGTAACAGAAGTCTACATGTACTGAAAATGAATCTCTGCTTCCACATTTCTGGTTGCCCTGTGTTTCCTAGACTTCATAGACACACTGTATTGTGGCTTATGTGGCACTCACTACAGGATAATGCACTGGACTGCAAGGTGGTTTGAACCTCAAGGTTGGCGGTTCAAACCCACCAACTGCTCCTCGGAAACCCTTTATAGGGTTGCAGTAAGTCGAAACTGACTCGACTGACTCGACAGCACTCAGCAACAACTGGTGTTATGTATGCAAAGGAAATCGGCTCCTCAGTAGGTATGTTGTTGTTAAGTGCCATCCAGTTGTGCTGATCTTTCTGCGCCACTCCAGGAGTGCAATAAAATATATACTGAGTATAAAATATGAGACTCTCCCATTTGAAATTGGGAAAAAAAAAGTCTTGAATTCTGGTCAGTTTGGTGGCTGGTATAACAGGAATGGGGTCCTGGTGTGGCTCTGTGGGTTAATATGCTGGACTGCAAAGTTGGTTTGAGCTTCAAGGTTTGTGCTTCAAGCTCACCAGCCGCTCCTTGGAAACCCTATACAAGGTCGCTATGAGTCAGAACTGACTCAGTGGCACTTCCCAACAACAACAATAAGGAATGGAGAAGTTTGGGCAACAATATTGAGCATAGATCTTCTAAATGACTACTGGATGTAAATTTCACATGTCATATTATCTTCTTTGGTGAGAAGATGTGAACTTTTTCTCTTGGTGGAGACAATGCCAAAACCTGACCTCAATAGAAGTGGCATTGGCAGTGTGGGCTGTGGTGGGAGTGGGAATTTAAATGTGCAGTTGTCTCTGTAGTTTGGTGCCAGGTGTTTTCAAGGAGGTCACATCTGTGCTCGTCATAGACCACCTTTCTCAGTGGGCAGATCTAGAAAATAGGGCAGTGATACTGTCTACACTGTTTTCTGCTCTGCTATTGTATTGAATCTGTTACCCTTTAAAAACAAGGCTGAAATTTATAGCCCAAAGTGATCCCTTGAAAGGTAAGAACCTCAGTTTAAATCTGTTACATAACAGTGAAACCTAGACTCATATCCAGCTACTTATAATGAAGGCAGAAGGTGTGAATTGAAATTTGCTGTTATCTCTGGAATGTCTGCAGTCTGGTGCCAGGTGTTTTCAGGGCGGTCACATTAATGCCAGCTACTTATTCAACAGCTCTACTTAGTGGTTATGAATCGGACTGTGAACCTTAAGAACTACCAGCTGTTTCGTGGGAGAAAGATGAGGCTTTCTGCTCCCGTAAAGATTTACAGCCTCAGAAACTCTATACAGGGTCGCTATGAGTTGGGACCGACTTCATGGCACATAACTACCACTACCACTTTAATACCTATTGGCCGTTTCTGTTTCAAAGGAAAAAAACAACTGGTTTATCCCTCAAATCTGTCCTCTTCCAGTCTTCCATCTCAGTTTATCATTCCATTTGCTTGGTCGTCCTTGATTCTTTAACCCCTTTTTCTCAAAATCCTGTTGACTGTACATAAAATATATATCCAAAATCTTTCTTCCCATTTCTGCCCACCCTGGATTAAACCCAGGACCTTCTCTCTGCCCTTGCCTTCCTTCCATCTCTTCTTAACATAGGAGTTTAAGCATTGTTCAGAACCCTACAGTGGTTTCCTATGTCTGTGTCCAAGGCCCTTATAGACTGGGCAAGACCCTCCTTGTGTTCTGTGTCCTGCCACCCCACCCACACCATTTCTCTGTTGCCTTATGCCCCACCCTTCCATTCCAGCCTCACTCACTGTTTGACAAGCAAACCAAGGGTGGTCCTGTCTCTGACCTTTGTATTTGCTGTTTTCCGTCTGTGTGATTGGTTTGTTAACTGTCGCTGTTCTGTCCTCAGACGGCTTCCCAGTGCGTTCCTCCCTGTCTGCTGGGTCGCCCTCTCCTGAGTTGTCCTCTGCCCTTCCTGCCTCTGCCCTTCCTGCTTCATTTCTCTTCAGAGCACTTGGCACCATCTAACACATGTTGCTTCTTCCTTCACCAGGTTTGAAGCTCAGTAAAAGTCTGTTTAGTTCATAGCTGTGTCCTAGTACCTATAACTGTGCCTGATACAAAGCAGATACTCAAGTATTTATGAAATTAGCAAATGACTGCTTTGAGATACTGGGGTGTGGAACACTAAGGTCTCACTTCTCCCCTGGGCTTCAGAGTTGTTTTCTCCTAGCTGTATCTGCCACTTTCCAGACTTGTGCTTAGGGCTTGACCAGGGTCAGCCAGCACTGCCTCTCCTTGACTAGCTGCGATAATAGAGGTCATAGATATATAATGTTCTAGGATAAACGCTCAACCACAAGGTTGGTTTGAACTGCAAAGTTGGTGGTTCAGACTCACCAACCACTCCCTGGGAACTCTATACAGGGTCGCTATGAGTCAGAACCAACTTTACAGCACTTAGCAACAACAGTTGGGAAGTTATCTGCCCTTGAAAAGGTCCCTGACTCATGAGCCCTCTGCATCACAGAATGATATGGTGTCCTGTCTGATTGGTTGTGGATCAGGCTGTTGGAAAGGATAGAGAAACCTGAATTTATCACCAGGCACCAGTCAGTGACAAAGAATGAGACCCCTGAGAAGATGGTTGGCACGGTGGCAGCAGCA